AGTTAACTAGAGAGAAGAAAGTCTTCAAGGTCCTTCTCATCTGCAAATGTTACGCGAGTCAATCGTGGCTCCACGGCATGCGGCAAGGATGGATGGCGAAACAACCGCACGATTCCAACTGGGTGATCGTCGATACCCATTTATATGAATCAGCCCAGTGATCAAGCTCCTCTGCTTTACATAACATTGAATAAGACTAACAACAGGATTCAAAGTGGATGAGAAAATGTTTTAGCTCTGATGGATTAGATCTGGCTCAAAACTACGTGTCCGTTGAGTGAAATCTTGACTTTGAGTTGTGAACACAAGATCGGTCCAGATGTGAATACGACACGTGATTTTGCCGTATAAAATGTGTTCTCCACCGCAGTTCTAAGTTTGCGGTTACCCACTTCCGCGATTGTATCTGATTCGATTTCTTCTCAGTCTTAACATACAGTTTAGGAAACTGGGATTTTTCCATATATTCCGTGATGAATTGAACACAAGTTTCTGCCAATTTCGTTGGAAACTTAACATACTTATTAAGTTCAAGTAGTTTGATCGGATTCTTGCCTTGTTTTAATCCCAGTAATATACCAGCGGCACAAATTGAATAAAAACGCAGCTTAGTGAACATGCTTGTTTTCGATGACTCATCAACTGGCTAATACATCACATTGTATAGAAAAGAGGAAAAGGCACGAAGCTTAAGGTTCGAGGATAAGATCAGGTATATCCGGTTTGTGGAACTGAGACAGATTACATGAAACCAATCTCAATTTGACTATTCATTTATTTCTTTTCCACTTTTCTATACACAATGATGCTACATAAAATGTGATGTACTGGTTAGTTGATGAGTCTCATTTTGTGTGTACTTGTTTGCATGTTCCTCTGGAGCGACGTATATTGGCCGCACGAGCAGGCGTCTATCTACACGAGTTCGGGAACATCATCCGATCTGGCTGAACACTGGTGTGGTTAAAACTATTACAAATGCCATCGTTTCACACCTCCTCGGGTCTGAGCACACAGTGATTGTGTCTGAAGCATTTCGGCCTCTCTACTGTATTCGGAGTGGCAGATCAAAGCTGATCAACAACCGTATCCTAGCCAACGCAGAGGCGGTTGGAATTCGTCTGCATAATCCCCATTGTGAGCTCCAAAACAATTTGTGAAGTCACTGAACCTACCATGGTCCTCCACCTCTCGTCTCTCCCATTTTATATAACATCAGTGTGCATAGAAAGAAGGAAGCGAAATAAATGAATAGTAAAATGGAGACTGTTTTGATTTTACCTTCCTCAGTTTCACAAACCGGATAAGGCTGATCTTACTATTCGACCTTACGCTTTGTCCCCTTTCCTTTATACGGAATGATATATATATATATATATAAATTTTATATTTTAGCCAGTTGATCGGTAACCGAAAACAAGCACACTAGCTAAACTGCGTTTTCATTCAGTGTGTACCTCTGGTATATTCCGGGAATGGATATCAATGTGTGTTTAATGGGACATCAGCACCATTGTTTAGGCGTGTGGAACATACTCCAGGAGCAAAGTGATCCGGGCCAAACACAATAGAACTGAATATGATTGACAGTTGGGGCTTGCATGCGCACTGGCAAAGCAGTTCATTGCAGTAGTAGTAGTACTAGTTGGAATATTAATGAAATCGTTTTCACTAAGTCACGTGATCAATATTGAGTAACATAAAGGGTGTAACACCTCCAAACATGGCTTAAAATTCACTATGCGTTTACTATCTGTGGTTGCGGACATTAGTTGTCTGGAGCACTCGCTCGTGCATGCTTCACCAACAGGATCGTCAATGCTCTCATTTGTTTTTCCAGCTGGATCGTCAGTCTTTGTTTAATACAATACCACCACCGGTGAAGTTTCTTCACTTTGAACAGCGCGTGGAATCAGATTTTGAAAACGCGATTTCTCTTTGTTTATTTCGTCATTGGTGTGACTTCAACAGACATCACAAAATGACCCTCAGATGACAGTCTGTTAGCAGATCTAGCACACTGTCCCGCTAGATTTGATATTCGTCAACAGAAATAACGTTTGTTTTCAGTCCAGAAACAAGTACCCTTGGAAAACTCTGACCACTGATTGTACCCTATTGTCAAAAGTAGAACTAATCAACGTTCGATACTGAACCATCCAACAAAAGTTATCAAGTGACGGAACTGTTTATATGAGGTTCATAGAAGGCTAATAAGTGTGCTTATCGAATCCCTCGTATTTGTCACGGAGAACATGAACCCTTTCTACGCACATGTACCTTTCCCATACGCAAACCTTGTTGTTTGATCGGACCGAGACCACCTAGGTGGTCACGGCACGTCGTTGACTGTCACTTTCTGCCTGTATACCTACTCATCAGTAAGCTTCTCTGTCTGCTCCACAGATTGTACCAATGCAAACGACGATGAGGTTTCGGTCGTTCTCACATTTGGTTCGTTTCTTTGTCCGTTGCTCGACATACGTATTCTAGGACATCCTTAGTCTAGACAGTGAATATTTGTCAGCGTTTGTGAACCCACTGAACGAATCTGGTTCAACTGAGATTATCTACACGTGGGCGGACAGGTTACTTTCTCCAATTCAAAAGAGGTTCATAACAAGAAAGAAACACTTAAGTAGGTTTGACGTTAAACCACCAAGAGACTGCAGCTTGATGTGGTATGATGGCTGGCGCATTTCTCTGAATCTTGTTCCTAAATCCTGTGCAGATTGTGTGCACAAAGCTCATGGACAAACATCGAAATGGACTCCGTGGACAGTATCTTCCAAGTCATGGCAACAAATACATGTGGATTACTGTGGTTCATTCTTCAACAAGTATTACGCATCGTCAATTTCTATTCCCTTTGGTGGGAAGTCTACTTTACTACTTCACCCGGTGCAGAATTTACCATTCGATCGCTGAAGAAAACGTTCTGTGGATAAGGTGTCTCGTATGCTATCCTGGCTTATATCGAAAGCTGTTTGACTACTAAGAAAGTTACTGTTTGGTTCAACTCCGTGAGTTATCAGCATATTCTCACTGAAATACGGCATCTACAATCCGATGGCGCAACCAAAAAATTTGTGTGCACACTGAAGTATGCAATTGCTTCACAGTAAATCCCAGTACGTTCGACGAACTAGACAGAGGCGTTGATGAATTTATGATGCAATACCGTAACACTGTACATTCAACTACGGGGCACAGTGCAGTAAGGCTGTCCAAGTGTCTAATACGTCAAACAAATCTTCAACACTTGGAGTCTGCTGAAGTCGTGTATCACTGTGGTAACGATTTACGACCCTCCAGAGGCATTGTACATGAGACAAAGATAATGAGACTATACATCGTAGACACGTAGACCAATTAATTTTTCATTTGCTCAATCCTGATGCTGATTGTGAACCTACTAGTCCTGTTATTTCTGAGTAATTTTTCAGATGAATGTGATAATTGCTCATGAACTATGAACTCTTTTGTTTTATTGAACACGATGTCCTTGCATATTTCTAATTTCCGCCTATTACAATTCCATTCCGCGTCTGAGTTGACTTCTGATTTCGTTTCGAGTCGTAGTTCTGGGTCTGACTATTAGTGCGCGGAATCCGATACGTATAGGAAATACTAGTCCGAGTACGAACCATAACAATGAATCACATCCCAGTACAAATGTTGAAAATAGTACATAAGTACCCAGAAGATCCGAACGGTTACTCAACAACACCCGGCGTGATTACAGAAAACCGGAGCTTCAATCTATCTGCTTCGGATGTGGTTGTTTGTGGTGATTGCGTATAAACTGAACATTCTTGTTTCGTTACATGATTGATTGCTCTGTACAATTTCGGTGCGTAATACCATCCGACTTCGAATATTCTGGTGTTCTATTTCATACTGCGTACTAGTCCGGTTGGAGCTTAATTGCGCGGATTATTGCGATTCGATTACTGATACCAAGTTCAGACAACCACATGGTTGCAGATATACTATGATCTCGTTTTCGTTTTGAACGCGATATCCTTGTACATTTTCGCTCATTGCAGCTCCGTTCCGTTATTGCCTGGTGTGTTCTGACTTCATCTCGAGTTCATGTCCTAAGTTGAACTGTTACCGCTCGGATTTCGGTACGTATGCGAAATATTAGTCCGAGTGTTATTTACAGCAGAGACACTTATGTGTGTTTGAATTTAACCATGAAGGGACTGCAGCCTGATGTGGTGTGATGGTTGGCGCATTTCTCTGACCAAAGGAGAAACATGGGATGGTCTTTATCAAGCTTAAATATCCCATAATACGCGGAGGCTCAGACGGTATCGGTCAGACAAAGTTCAGTCTCTTGGTCCCCCCGGTTTACAGTTAGACCCAATTTGCTGTTTCACTGGGCGAAGTGGTGGAGTATTCAATCCAACAGCCGCCAGGTTCTTGGATGAGAATCCTAATTGTCCTCCGTTTTAGTAGTTAGGCTTGCTAGTAAAAGGCGTCCATGAAAATCTGCTACATTGTGGTGATCGTAAACAGACTACAATTTGTCTGTCTGTCCGTCTATCTTTTTACTTCATCTTTGATTTATTAAATATACAAATGTACAGTCAACATTCAGGAAGCGGAGCCGCAGCCATACAAAGGCTGCTGCTGAGAAGCTGGGCGGTGGTGGAGCGGCTCGAACCCGGTGCTCCCTGGTCATAAGTTGGTAACCCAACCACTTGGCTATCACCGTTTGTTGTGTTGATCAAAATATCCTTGTATAGTCCCGCTTTCCGCTTATCACCATATGACTTCGTTTTGAGATTTGGTGGTTGATTCGTTCAAAGTCCGATGAGGAAAAGAAAACCGCTTTCTTTTTGAATGCTGCCGGTAAAAATGCTTATACATTAATCAAGAACTTGACTTATCCTCCTCCAACTGTTTCTGTACCGTACGATGATTTAAAATCCCTCCTACAGCATGTGAAGCCAACGAACTTTGAAGCCTCAGAGGGAGCAAAATTTCATTCAATGGTACGCAATCCGAATCGGGGCATCCGTGAATTCATCTTGGATTTGCTCACTCAAGCTGCAAAGTGTGATTTTGGGGATTTACTGGACATGCAGTTGAAGAATCGGCTGATCGCTGGCATTAACAATACCGTTTTGCAAAATGAACTTCTGAAGCTATCCAGTCCGACGTTCAAATATGGGCGGGCTTATTGTGAACAATATCAGGACATTCGCGCCGCTACTTGCCGTCTACCATCGAATCTACAACCATGTTCAATTCACTCAAGACTAAATCCACGAAAGCTCATGCTACAACCGGACGTTTCAAACCGGTTGCACAATCCACCTCACACAATGTGACATATTCGGATAAATCCTATGGCAATTGTGCATCCTGTGGAGAACGTCATTCCAGATTCACATGTCGATTTCGTTACGCCTCATGTCACAAGTGTGGCAAAACTGGCCATATTCAGTCTGTGTCGCAGTACCAAAACCTGTCGTTTAATTGAATCCCGGGACTCAGAAGTGAGTGATATGGACAAACATTTTTCTTCTTTATCTTTGGCAATTACCTCCCATTCCGGTCACATCCGTAAACGACCATTCAGTTCCACTGGTAACTCGCTTCGTTTCATTTTGGACACTGGTAGTGTGGAATCTCTAATTTGTGTTCATGATCTAAAACTGTTTGCTCCAGATGCTAACCTCCAGTCGTCCATTGTCACCAAAAATGGCATCACTGGACACTCACTGCCTGTTGTTGGTTCTTGTATGATTTCAGTCAGTGATGTTACCTGTATATTCATTGTAATCAAGTCTGGCCCATCCATACTAGGCTTGAAAGCCATGCAAGCATCAAATGTCAATCTTTCCTTTCTAACCTCTATCGATACTGAAAATGAATTGAAGGATTCGATTAATAAATCCTCAAAGGCCAGTGGTGGCATGCAAATTTCCCCAATGAGACTACCAGTTAATGGCGATCCAGTATTTCTTAAACGCCGAGTCATTCCGTATGGCCTTCGCGAGTCCGTCATGAATGCATTGAACAACTTGTGTTCCAAAGGTGTTATGCAGAAGGTATCGTCTTCTCCATGGGGTACACCAATTGTCACACCACTCAAGTCGGATGAAAAGACCCCCAGAATATGTGGCGACTACCGAATCACCTTAAATACAAGTCTGTTGAAGCAGACATGTGCAACAGTTGAACCAGAGGACATTCTGAATGAGCTGACTGATTCAAAGGTCTTTTCCAACATGGACTTGAAAGATGCTTATTTACAATTTCCGTTAGACGAAACCTCCTCCACCTTGACAACTATTAATACCCCGTTTGGTTTATACGGATACAAGGTTTTGCCGCTTGGTTTATCCATTTCTCCTGCCATATTCCAACAATTTATGAATGATATTACTAGTGGGATGTCTGGTGTTAAAGTATATCAACATGGCATTATTGTTCATGCTCCTGACAAGTCCACTCATGATGCACGATTACTTGAGCTCTTTCGTAGATTTTCTGATAAGAATGTTGCTGTTAATCCTAGGAAGTGTTTATTTTCTGTCTCTCATTTTGAATGTCTGGGATACTTAGTTAATGGTAAAGGGTAC